TCCTTCCTGTTCCTGCACCTCTTCTTTGTGGATTCACAGGTGCCAAGTTCAGACAGCAGAAGAGAGTGGTTGGATCATTCAGACTGGAAACCCAGCCTGGAAATTCCTCCACTGATCCCAGAAATCACTGGAGCTGTAGCAGCCACTTCCCATCCTGCCTCTGGATTTAGGAGTACATGGCAAGCACCAGGTCCTTCCCAACCCCATCCCTGGAAGTGTCCAAGGCCAGGTTGGACAGGGCTTGGAGCAATCTGGGATGGTGGAAGATGTCCCTGCCCATGGCAGGGTGGTGGAATTAGATGATCCTTAAGGTCCCTTCCTGCCCAAACCATTCTGTGATTGTTTGAGTGCTGCCTTCCCAGCTCCATCTCCTTCTCTGCAGCATTTTCTCTCTTGTTCCACTGGTGTTTCTTTGTTTCCAGCAGATTTATTCCCATCGATGCTGTTTCCCTCTGCCCCTGCCCAGCACCACCACACCCAGGCGTGGCCCAGGGCCCAGGTGAATGGAAAACTTGATACTGAGGCAACAACCTCTTGTTTGGGGCATGGATCCCACGTCCTCCTCTCTTCAGCATCTTCCAAACCAAGTTTGTCTCATTCTCAGCATGAATCCCCTCTTTTCCTGCTCCTACCTCTCCTGCATTCTTGCTTCTTTCTCGAGACCACTGCACCATTTTTTTTTTTCCCATGGAAAAATCCACTTGGGAATTGCTGTGGTCATCCCTTCTTCCAGTCATCTTGGGTGTGACAGATCCTCCTTTCCACACTCTTGCTCCTCTCTAACTTCCTTCTCCACACGGATCCTTATTGCTTTTCCCTTCCCTTAGACTCCTCCATTCTGTTCTCCTTGACTTGGTAAAGCTCCAGTTGGGAAACAGCCCAGTTTTCCATCTCTCCCAGCCTCTTCACCTCCCAGCCCTAATGAATGAGTTTTTTCCTTCCTTCTCCTAATGCTCTTTTCTTCAGCTTGGCTGTTTGGGACTCATCAGATGCAATTAGTGTTCGAATCCAGCAATCTGGTGATTGGAGGGATGAAGGATAAGCTCTTTTTTTGGAGCCAATCCTTCCTTCCAAGTGGACTTCCTAGGTCACTTGGAGCAGCCAGCTCCAACTGCAGTGGTCAGGGTTGTCCCAAAGCTGAATCCCTAAAATAAATGAAGATTTCCCCAGCACAGTTAACAAAGCTTGGAGAGCTGCTCAGTGACACTTTGGTGGTGTCACCTACCAAGCACTGTCCACCTTGCTCCCTGAACTCTTCATATTCCTATATTTTATTAGAATTCCCTCTCAAAATTAAGGGAAATAACTTCTTGGGCTTTTTGAATGTGTTTCCTGCACTAGAACTGGTTTAAGAGGCGCAGGGTTAGACATTTAGCAAAACAGTTTGGTCATTGCCAACTTCAGGCATTGAAAAACCATCTCTCGGGCTTCAAAAAGGAGGGGGGAAAATCAAGGATTTTGTAATAAAATTCCTGATTTAAAACTTGTGTTGTGGTGGAACGTGAGGTGGGAAGTTTCTGAGACGAGAAGGGGAAGCAAAGGAAGCAGAAATGTTGGTCTGTGTGATGGTGTTTGGTGGTCCCGGTTTCGAGGTGCGGCGACATCACAAACATTGCCCTTCTGCTGAGATAATGTTGTTGATGCTGAAAACAAACCTGGTGGCAAAATAAATAGCAGGAATTCTTGAGGAAGAGGGAGGGAGGGAGGGAGGGAAGGCAGAGTGGTGCCAGAGGCACAGTAGAGCCCTGAGGAAGGTTTCCCTCCCGTTGACAGTGTTTGGGGCCGGTTTCGTGTTGCGAGATTTCAGGAACTGTTGTGTAATGTATCCCCGTGTCCGGCTTCCCCCCAAATTTTTGGGATGCTCCATCAGCCAGATCAAGGAAGTGCTCTGCAGGAAGAAACATCAACAAGCCAGGCAATTTGAAAAAAGCTGGATTTGTCCTCTAATCCAGGTCACAGTGAAGGAATATGTGGATGACTCCCCATCCCTGGAAGTGTCCAAGGCCAGGCTGGATGGGGCTTGGAGCAAGCTGGTCTTGTGGAAGGTGTCCCATGGCAGACCTGGATGATCTTCAAGGTCCCTTCCAATCCAAACCATTCCATGATTCTATGAATATCCCAAACCAGTACTGCACTGAAACCATGGGGAGAAGAGTGAAAACCCTTCAAAAATTTCATTTCTCTGTGCTGACAAGAGGAACAGCCCTAAGTTGCACCAGGAGAGGTTTAGATTGGATATGTAGGATGGGGGAGGAACACAATAATAATCCTGCAGTTGATGTTTGGTGATGAATTTGCCTCAACAATGTTCTTTGGCAGCCCCATGTAATTAAACTCATTAACCTCTCCTTGCTGATGGCTCTTTCCCTTATGAGGGGCTGAGGTTGAGAAGTCCCTGCTCGTTGTCAGATGCTCTCCTTGACCTGTTTACCCTCATCCCACTTCCTGACCCGCAGGAAAGAGTTCACAGATTGGCTAAAGCAATTTCCAAACTGTAGAAAACAAACCCTCATTAGTTGCCTCTGTCTGGTCCTTGTGTTGGGAATTTGGGAGATTGGATTTAAATCTACAGCAACATTTAATTTCATGTTCCCAGCAGGGTGGTTGCTGTAAGTGGGGAAGCGACTTCCTCCAATTGAATCTGAATGTAAAATGCTTTTATTAGCAGTGGCCTCACAGCGGTGCCTCTCCCAGACTCATCTTTTCTCTTTCAAAAGCTGCTGCTCTTCCACTTCATGGCCAAATCCCTCCATCAAACCTTCAAGAGGAGGCTGCAAACCCAACAAAATTCGTCATCAGTGCAGGTTAACCATATCCAGGCTGTAAATGCCCAAATCCACGGGGCAAGGGCAGCAAAGCCAGGCTTCAAAATGTCTCATTCTTCAAGCCACACATCTCAGGCTGCTTTACAGTCTCTGGAAGCACTGAGGTTTTGAAAATGCACATCCCAACACTTGGAAAACGTAGGAAAAAAAATTAATTCAGTCATTTTTGAAGGGGGGGGAGAAGATCAAGACAAACCCCTGGTTGTTGCCCAGAATAACAAGCACCACCAGGACTCTCCTGGGCTCAGCATTAGAGCCGTGTTGGCCGAGGACAAGAGGAAGGGTTCCTGCTTGGGGGTCTCGGTGAAAGCCTTGGGGAAAGGCTCTGGAAATACTTCCCAGGGTTTGAAAACCAGCACTTTACTTATGCAGGGCTCACCCAGCAGTTGTTCTTCTCAACATCTTCCTCTCAGCCTCTGAAAAGTTGGGATGCGCTGCGGATTCATGTATAATGGAGCAGCTCGCAAAATATGTTCTCCCCTGCTTTGCTTTTCGTCTTGAAACACCCCAAATGACTATTTTCTGGCAGCTTTTTGGCTTTGGCTGAATTTTTTCTTTTTTTTTTTTTTTTTTCCTTAAATTTTGCTGCATTTTTGGCTGAAAACCCTTTGGCCACACGTTGCTGAAGGCTCACGTTTCCAGCCGAAAATTCCCATCTTGGGGC